TGGGGGTTTCCATAAATGGGGGTACCCCAAAATGGATGGTTTATAAGGGAAAATCCAATTAAAGTGGATGATTTAGGGGTACCCCCATTTATGGAAACCCTCATGTTCAGCTGCTAAAAACACAGGCGTGCGCCATGGGTGACTTTGAGGGTGCCGCTGACAATTCTCAAGCAGTGCAGACGTCCATGGCTCTGGGCCTGTGCTATGCCGCTTGGCGACGCGACGCGAAACATGGGCCCATTGTACCATGGTCAAAGCTAGGGTAAACTGCCATATATACCCTCTGGTTATTTAACATAGCCATGGAAAATAGAACATATAGTTATACCATGTAACTTGAGGGCACATGCAATGCATGTGCACCCAGACTGCTGCGCTGATTTCTTTGCAGGTTTTTACCTATTTGATCCTGTCGGACATTGGATCCATTATGTGCGCTTCCAAGCAGCAGTTCAGTGAGCAACTACCGATGAGAAGATAGACCCCGAGTGTTTAGATGTGCAATCAAGACAACCATGACTCAAGATTGGCTCAGCCCAAGAAAGATGTAGGTACCCTGAATCATCATAAGTCATGAATGATGGAAGTTGCACTTTTTGAGGTGCGCTGGTGCATTGATCTAGATGTGTTTGTAGGTAGCGTTTGCACAACTTGAGTTTCGCGGTTGTAGCTATACAATGTATGTATCTATTGACTTCTGTTTCAGCTCTACACAGTGTGAACTTTCAAAAGGGCAGAAGGCGCCTGGTTTAGTTTAGCTTCTTACGTAGTGTTAGTGTCAGTGAATACTTTGACAGCAAGCAATGGGGAAACTTCTGAACAGGCATGAGGGGGCTCTCCTTCCCTGGGAAAAGTGGCCATATGTTAATGACTGACATTGATATTGCAGCCTCACTTGCAGTCTCAGCTATCCCACACACAATGATTGCGGCAAGAAGTGCTTTTCAGATGGAGAGGAGGTAACTCCAAAAGCAACTCTGAAGTGGAAGAACCTGAGCCAAGCCTCCAGGAACGTTTGCTGAAAGACGAAGAGGGCAAGTGGCTTGGCTCCAGAAGGGATACCCGCTGGGAAATCATAAACCATGAACTTCATGAACCGTCATTTGGGTCATTGGTAACCTGGTAACCGGTGTCAAATCATCCTTTTTTTGGGGCCGTGTCAAGCATTCACGGATTCCGTTGAGCCTCCACGGATTCGTGTCAGGCCATACTACATCCAAAAGACCTGGATGGAAATTGGGGGTTTTCCATGTCCGGGCCTCGGCCAAGGGAAGAAGAAAGGGGAACTCTCTATATAAACAACGACAAAGGTTATTCCCAAAGACCTGGTTTCGCCCAATATTGCTGTTAGGTTTAAGACTTTAGGGTTTATGGTACCATTAGAGGCAGCAAATTAATTATCACTTTCGAATGGAAGGGCTCCTTCCCAAATGAATTTTTGAATGGTTAATAGTTACTGATATACTTTTGGGGCTGACATGGGCTGACATTACCAGGATTGACCTGAGATCTTTGGCGCAGATCAGGTGCTATTCTGATGTCTTTCCTGGTACCGTTGCTGCAGCAATTTCTCGGTGTGGCTGAATCCAGATGGCCACCTGGATCAAGGGAAGCACCAGGATAGAGGGCTTAAGTAGTATGAAAATAGCCGTTTACAGCTGTAAACCAGCATTGAATCATGAGGGGAATCTCTACACTTTTTTTTTGGGGTCACAAAAAATCTCCGGAGATTTTTTGGGGAGAGCACGTGACACCTCGAGATGTTCCAAAGGGACCATGGATTGATGGGGTCGCCGAGGCGACCGCAAATGTGGTGGATGCAAAATGAGAAGTGCGGCGATGAGAACTGGTTAGCAGAGGCCAGCTGTGTTTTATCGCTGCGATCTGTGAGGAGTTTTTCTGGGAAAAAAGCGGCTTCGCATTTTTCGAAAAAAACTTTTTCCAGCTTTGATGCACTGAATGGTTTTCATGGATCTGGTGGTCAAGAAGCCCACTTTTCCATCCGCCAGGACGAGAAGAATCTGAACTATTGCGGAGGATTCTTTCGAAATTGGACATGGGCCGCAGTGTGAATCTGAGCCGTGGGACCCGTGGGAGTGGCACGGAAAGTTGCCACCAACTGAGGCCGTAGTAGTTCTGAGACTTGCTGCATCTTGCTGCCAGGCCGTTGCATTGCTACTCAATACCTCACACTCATTTCTGTCTGGACTGGTGGTCAAGAAGCTCAATTCCGTTGTGAAGCTCATGGGAAAGCGGCTCAACTCAAAAAAGAAAGAGTCATTGGTTTGAAAAGAATCAGAACTTTCTGACTGCAGTGCTTGGCGCAATGGCTTTGTTTCTCTGACTCTTTTTGAATTCTCAGTGGGCCGAGTGTTTCGAAAAATTGATCAGTTCCCTCAGGTGTGCTTCTCTCGCCCCTTGGATGCAGCCCGATGGATGATATCGAGATATATCAAGTAAGAATGGAGAGCCAGGCCGCAAAGATGAAAAGTCTCTCTCCAAATTAGACTTTGGAAATGAATCAATAGGGCAAACAATGCAAGATAATGTAAGACTGCATTTTTTGTCCCATTCATTAAAAGACTTCCAGTTTTCAGAATTTTCCCGTGGGCATTTTGAATGTCTAAGGCCTTGGTGTTCTTTGTGGGTGACTGCTGGCTGCTTCGTGTACATGAGCCGAAATCGGGATCTTGTTGGACCATGACTGTGATGTGTCTGACTGATACCTGGTACAAGCTATGAAAAATCACCATGGCTTGAATATGTTTACATAATTTTAATACATAAAGCATCGGACTGGGCCGTTTTCCATAGCAAACTGTGACATTACCAGAGGATAGTTTTATTTTTTGAGAGGCTTGTGCTTTTACGATCAGTGGATTGGCAGGATGCGTGTTTTGCAGGAGCCATCAATCTTGTGCATGTTGTCTGCAGTGATAGTGATCCTTGGCTTGCAAGTCTTCCGCGACCTAGCTCAGAGTCTGCTTGCCACGGAAACACAAGCTGTCATGCGCTCCCGAGTGCTGGAGCAAGAACCGTTTTAAGGATGGTTGGAACGTTTACCTTTATGCAGCTTGATCAGCAGAAGTCCATGGTTTTGCGATCTTTGACGGTCTTTGAGGTAAGACCGGTAAGACACTTTCTCGACCTGAAAAAAGTGCCTGAATCACAACAACATGCTTGCATATCTTAAAGATTCTTAAAGCACATCCCATTCCTTTCAAACTTCTGTGTCTTTGCAATCTTTATCCAAGGAATCTGAAACCTCCCAAAGGCGACAAAGCCGCGAAACCTCCTGCCAGCAGCACTGCCAGCAGCACAGCCAGCGCTGACCGAGAGCTCAGAAATTCTGGTGTTGCTGCCTCTAAGGAACCAAGTGCCAGTGTTGAGATGCCACAACGCTAGTGCAAGATGTACAGGAAGCTTCTGACGCCATTTTTCTATTCATTCCGGGTGTATATATATATATAATACATTATAATACGTTATATATATATATATGTATATCTGTGTATACATTGACATATACATATATAGTTATATATATATATGATATAAATTGTTGGGTGCATTAACAATCTGATTATAGAGGGCAGCAATGGCTTCCCAAGGAAATGATCTGATCTGTTGATGGAAGCTGGGACACGGAAACATCAAGCGGAAGAGATTTTCATCCTGGCTTTCAGTTTGATCCCATTGCTCCATGATTGCACCATGGTTGCACCAATGTTTCTGGTCTCACAGTGAGTCTCCCAATGACCAGAGCCTGTCCAAGCACTCAAAGTTCAGTTGCTATTGGACTGGGCATTGCTTTGACATTGCTTTGACATGATACAAAATTGCGTTTTTTTGATGGCGAGATCTGCAAGATGCATCAAGATGCTAGATGGCTATGGATCAATCCCTATAGATACCATTTATAGGGATGAACATCCATTTGCCAGCTATTTTGGTGTTCACCATGGGTATAGGGTTTTGACCCATATCCAGATGGGTATACACCAGAGGGTCACTCCCCATGCATGGCCCATGGCCCATATGGCTGTCGTCTCCAAGGGCCGAGCGGATTCAGAGCGCGCTCAGGGAGGCTTTGGCGACGCCGCCGCTGCATCTCCGTGGCGCGTTGCTTCGGCGCTGCGCCCAGGGGGAGTTCCAGTGGCGATGTGAAACAGAGTGTATCAATATATATACGACCACTAGGCTTAAGTCGTATCAATCGACCTGAAGTCGTATCACACCTGCGTGCGCGCAGTGTTTCGTATAGATTTTGATAGTTCTTTATTTGATAGGTTATTGATTCGAACACTTTTTCATCGCTGTGCGCAATGTTTTGTTGACATGATTCTATTTGACCCTACTAGCCCTAGCGTTAAGTCGTATCAGCTCGTAGAAGTTGTATCGGGAGACCGTGCGCCTGGAAAAAGTTCAAGTTTGGCATCACCACAACTTTTAGTAATTGGACGATTTCATTGTTTTGGGGCCGTGCTGTTGCTGCTGCCTCCTGCTGCCTCCTGCTGCTGTTGCTGCTGCCTCCTGCTGCTGCTGCGGCTGCGGCTCTGCCTTCTGCTGCTGCTGCTGCCTCCTGCTGCTGCCTCCTGCTGCTGCCTCCTGCTGCTGCCTCCTGCTGCTGCCTCCTGCTGCTGCCTCCTGCTGCTGCTGCTGCTGCTGCTGCTTCCGCCTGCTGCTGCTGCTGCTGCTTCCTCCTGCTGCTGCTGCTGCTGCCTCCTGCTGCTGCTGCTGCTGCCTCCTGCTGCTGCTGCTTCTCCTCCTCCTGCTGCTGCTGCTCCTCCTCCTCCTCCTGCTGCTGCTGCTGCTTCCTCCTGCTGCTGCTGCCGCTGGTGCAAACATTTTGCCGAAAAAGAAAATTACAGTCTCGGTCGCCTTGTTTGGCGCTGGCGGGAGATACGGGCGGGAGACGCCCAGCAGAGAGAGGGAATGTTTACAGAAGGCAGAACTTATGAAACATTCAAGCGGAAGCGGATGTTGACAGCGGTGTGCCACTGGGTTTTCAGATTTTAACGTTGTTGATATGATGATGTTGCCCATAGCTATTACATGGAGATCTATGTTTGTTAGGAAGCAAAGTTAAAGATCTGGGAGGCCGTGTGCCATGGTGATTCCTAAATATATCCTTTGAAAACATAGTTTAAACATATGTGAATACCTCAGTGTGCGCAATGTTTTCTTCATTTTTGGAGATACAGCAACATTCCTTGAAAGCCAGTGTGCCATTGGGATTTTGATATTTTGATGTGACCTTTGCCCAGTTGATGTGACTTTCTTCCAACTCGCTGTTACATGGGGTTGATGTGACTTCTGCCCAACTGATGTGACTTAAACCCTTCGCTAGTACTGTATATATATACACATATAAATGTTATATATATATATACACATATAAATGTTATATATATATATATAATCATTATATAATCACATATATAGATTATAGATATATGATATATCTATATTGCACTACATAGAGTTGAAATGAATTGGATATGTTGCAAGATACGAACATCGCTTCTTTGTTGAGCATCTCTGAACATCCCAGGCGGGTCCAGCTTCCAGCAGTCTCTGGACCCCAGCAGTTGATGTTAGGACCTGAGACCGGGTTGTTGGAACCGGGAGGTGAACCATATAGCCTGGTTGATTGGTGAATTTTGGTGAATTTATGTGAATTTATGTGAATTTATGTGAATTTATGTGAATTTTGGTGAATTTATGTGAATTTGTTGGGACTTATTGTACCTCATTTACTGGGGATGATGATAAGCCATAGGATTTGGACACCGTTTTCAAGCAACGTTTGTATAGTGATAGTGGGGTAGTCTTTTTGTCGGCTCAACCGATGTTTATAGGGGACCTAAGCAACGTTAATGGGGGATACAACATGGTTACATACTCGGATATAACTGTGTTATGGCTATGGGGTACATATGATATAACTGTTAAATGTTGATGATGTCTGATGTTTAGAGGGTTGACTGATGTTTGATGGCGTGTTGATGTGGGGTACATCTATAGTTACTGGCTTTACAAACCAACTATAGTTAATGTACATGATCCCGCTCCCCCTATTGAAAACACACCTCTCCAGAAACCATGGTGGATGAACCTAGGGATGAAACCACATGTGACACCATACAATGGGCGTGGTTAATATGAATCGGGGATGGGATTGGTTATCCCAGAAGAGTTTATCATCATCCACTATTCATCTCTCTTCGTGAATACTGATCATGGATGAACATGACAATGAAGAAAACTGGTTAATAGTGAATAATGTAATCCTACAGTTCTATGAATAATGCTATGAATAATGATGAATCATGGATGATCATGGCCCTTTCTGCCCGGCATGCTTTTCAACCCCAGGGTGTTCGGTTCCCGATGTTCGTCTGCGGGTCTGTTAAGGCCATCCCATGATTCCTTCGCGGCACATGCGGACAGAGCAACTGCCGACACCTTACTCCTGCTGCACATGTCACCTTTCGGAGGTCTAGATGATATGCCTCGGTAGATGTTGAAAGAATGGGAGTTCAAACACAGGAAATGTTTTAAAAACCTATGAATAGCATTTTTTTTGGATGAACTTCCATAAATCCCAGCTATTTTGGTGTTTTCACAGAAGGGTACTGGTTGGTGAACTGGCACAGCCTAATCACTGAGTGACAGGTGGCTGCATACCACTATAGTGCTGTCCTGTACCTTAGCGAGCGCGGTGATGACTTCCAAGATGGAGAGCCTCTTGACTTAACACCATCTTGTCTCTGCCAAGCTTGAAATGAAGTTGAACTTCCCTCAACGTGTGTCCTAAAGGCTTCAATCTCTTTTACAATCAGACGTGTCTTTGTCCGCCCATCAGAGGTGTACCTCAGAGTACTTCCATCAGCAAATGGTGCACCAAGGCTCGTCTTCATGGATAGCCCGCCGGCTCAGCCAGCTTTGTGGGAGATTGGGACAGATCTCTGATATCTTGCAGTGTCTGGTATGGCTACCCTCTGGTAAACTAACATAGCTATTGAAAATGGCCATTTATAGTGAGTTTTCCCATTAAAAATGGTGATTTTCCATTGCTATGTTAGTATAGCGGTATGGCTATTTTTTGTGCCATGGCATGTTGGGGTAACAATTCTGTGGTTCGAATCCTCTGGGTGGCTTGTGCCATGGTGGTGCCATCTTGGTTCATGCGCTTTTTCTGCCAATTATATGACGTGCTACGTTCGTCCACATTCTATGAAAAAAAATATATATATATGTATATATATATAAATATTGCCTCGGCGAATGTGTTATCACTGGATAGAGCCGAACAAGGATTTGCTGGGAAATTGCACTATCTCAGAACTCAATTCAAATTTCTACATCTCAATCTCTCTGGGCATACAAGAGTCAAGAGCTGTCTCTGAGTCAAGGGATACTTCGTTTGAGCTCGGGAGCGGCAAATGGTAAATGGGGAGTAGAGTTGTGGATCAATTTGCAACAACCATTCGCCACTGTGAAGCGCAAGCATCTGTGTTTTCAGAAAGGTGATTTCCATGTTGCACACCGTGACCCTCGCAGATTTGTGGTCCACATTAAGAACAACTACTTGGCCTTTTGGTGTATGGTTGTACACACACCACAGAGCGGGCTTCCCTTGGGAGAGCGCCAAAGATGGTGGACAGAAACGAATGGTTTGCTTCTTCATAACATTGAGCCCGGTGAAGAGCTGGCTGTCTGCATTGATGAGAACGCAGCGCCAGGCTCTGCAGATGTCTCCTGTGTTTTTTATGAGGGGTTTCGATCATCTAGCAGCTAGCAGCAGACCACTCTTCAGAGACTTCCCTGAGACGTTTCAGCTTTGTCTTCCTCTCACAGGGGCCAGTCACAAGGTTACTGCCACGACATGGGCCTCTCCGGACGATGGCGAATACACCATTGACTATGTGCCATTCCGCGTAGATGGAATCCCTGGTGTTGTCTGTCCACTGTGATTGAGGACTTTAATTAGGCCAATCTCACTCTGGACCATTCTGCAGTTGCCATTGAGCTCAAATGGGAGCAAGCTTTCCCCATCAAGCATGGATCAAATAAGGAGATTTTGCCCTTCGAGAGGAATCGCATTGGCACTGAATTGCAGACCTCTCTCCGACATTCGGCGTCCTGCTCTTGGGATGATGATGTTGAGTCACAGGCACAGAGGGTGGCGACTCACTTTCGTGGTCTTTTACATCATCACTATCCCAAGCAGTCAGATGGACCAAAGAATCCCTATGTCACTGAGGATATATGGAGGCTCCGGAAAGAGAAGAACGGACTGCGTAGACAACTCCGACATTGCAGAGGCTTGCTTCGGAGAGAGACTTTGGGCGCACACCTTCACAGCATGGCGAGAACAACCACGGAGAGACAATCCGGCCTTGGACCTATCCTTCAACTTCAGCACATCCTTGAGGACTGGCTCCCTACGCTGTTATGTTGCTTTCATTGCTTGCATGAAGCGTCCCAAACATGCACTTTGCCAGGGAAGAAAACAAGCCTTGAAGCAGGCAATGGATATGATCACAGACACGACACCTGCATCGAAAATCCAGCAGATTCTACGACCTTTCAAAGGTCCTTCCAACAAACTTCGCCGAGGACTAGCCCCCCTGCCCTTGATTTGTAGTGCCAATGGTGATTCTTGTCGCGCAGCTGGTGACGCACTCAACCGCTGGGTATCTTTCTTTGGTGATGTGGAAGGTGGATAGAGAGCCAATGCACAAACCCAGTGGCAACTTTTGGCGCAATCATCTGGAGACTTTCCACCACAAGGAGCTATCCATTGACCTTGAGGAGCTTCCTATGCTGTGTGAACTTGAAGCAGCATGCAGATCTGTTGCAGCTGGAAAAGCCTCTGGGCTTGATGGCATACCATCGGAGATATGCAAATATTGCCCTACAGTGACGGCTTTGCATCTCTACAGCCTGATGCTGACGATTTGCACACAAGGCCAAGAAGCACTTTCACACAAAGGAGGAATCCTCCCAATTTGGAAAGGAAAGCAGGACAAAGCCAGCTGTTCAGCCTACCGTTCCATTCTGTTATCTTCAAACTTGGTAAAGGTCATGCACAAAACCATTCGGACCAAACAACGCGGTTGTACCAAGCATTCCTGCATGGACAGCAGGTTGGGGGCAGAGTTGGTGTTCCAGTTGTTCTCGGCGGGCATCAAGTCAGAACTTTTCAACGAGTTTGCGCCCTAGAGAAGTATCCATCAGCGCTTCTTTTTATTGACTTGCAAGAAGCCTTCTATAGAGTTGTCCGTCCACTGATTCTCGCCGGCCCTTTGGATGACGACCTTATTGCTACTACTGCAGCGCGCATTGGCCTTGATGAAGGATTTCTTCATGATCTCCACGCAGCTCTCATGCGCGCTATTGGAAGCTGGATTGCCGATGCACCTTATCCGAGCTATCAGGGCACTGCATACCGACACGTTCTTCAAGCTCCCTACCCAAGAAGATCAGGCCCCGACCCATTTGGGCACGAGGCCCGGTGATTCTTTCGCCGATGTCATTTTCGGCTGTCTCATGGCGAGAGTTTTGAAGGAGTTCCACCAACAGATGGATGAGTGTGGATTGTTGCAGCACTTCCCAGTAGAGCATAGCTTGCGGATTGGGGCTTCTCTGGCTGCTGAGGACTTCTCGCATACCCTGCTGGATGGATGACTTGTGCATTTGTTTGAAGGCCGCTTCGAATCCCTGGGCACAGCGACTGGAGGCATTCTTGACACCTTCAAAAGCCATGCTATGACCCCCAACCTGGAGCTTGGGAAAGCGGCAGTGATGATTTCACCCAAAGGCCCTGGGGCAAACGCATGGATACATGGGCCATTGTCAGACGGCCACTTCCTGAGTCTGGGTGAACATCATGCTTACCGTGCGGGAAAGGTACGTTTCTCAAGTTCCCTGAAGAGAGATACGCGCCCGTGTGGCGATGGCCCACCAGGAGTTCAACAAACATCGGAAACTACTGTATCAGAACCACCACCAAAAGACCAAAGACTACCTACATGGTAGCATTATCGGGCTCTTGAAGCGCGTGCTTGCTTGTCCAGCTGACCATCACATCTCTGACGACGAAGTCCTCTTCAAAACGGGCATTTCTTTACCTAGTGATTTGCTTCGACTCCGCCGTTCTCTGGGCTCACTTTTAGCGATTGGTGAAACTGCATGTTGGGGCCTTTTGAACCAAGATGTGCAATGGGTTGAGCTGATTCAAGACGATTTGCTTCATCATTGCAGCGATCTTGGAGCACCTGATGAACATTTACCAAGATGGATTGAAATCATTTCCTGCCATCGTGGATGTTGGAAACGTTTGGTGCCCCTAGCCGCTGAACATGCCATTGGAGTACGAGCAGCTCGGGAGTTCTATGTTGCGAGCGCACACATGACATTCCTGGACAGACTTGAGCAAGTTCCTGGTTACACCCACCATGCAGAAGTTTGAGAGTGAACCAGAGAGCACGCACGTTGATTGCATGTTCTGCCAAATAGCGTGTCGCTCCGCAGGCGGGGAAGGTGCTCATATGAATCACACTCATGCCGAAATCCATCCGGTCAGAAAGCTCATCGGCACCACCCAGTGCAGCGCTTGCCTGACGGCATATCATACGCATGGGAAATTTAAGGCCCACTTGATTCGATCTCAGACTTGCCGTACAACCATCGTTGGTAGAGGACACTGGGAAACCCCACGCCCGGGGATTGGCTCTATTGCAGACACTGCGCGGCACAAAATATGGGACAATCGATTGCCAGCACTCTGTGCCTTGGGTCCCCTTCCTCAAGGTGTATCTGGTCGAGACTTTCCGGTCGAGCATGAAGCTTTATTTGAGGAGATCACCTTGGCCAATGAGAATGAGACGCAGATCCGTGGCAGCATTTGTGCTCTTCCCATTTCATGGACTAAATGCAGAGCTACTTTGCAAGAAGTCAGCAGATGTTGCTCAGAGGAACTCATTGGCATTCCTGCTGATCAGCGGGATCGGTTTTGTGCAGTCCTTCATCGTCTGGCAGAGTCGCCCTCCTGGCCATTCCTTTTTGAGCAAACTACCAAAGGCAGCCCCTCCATTCCACAGCTTGACACACTGACTACCTTGATTGAGCAGTGCACTGTGCTCGAGACAGAGCCACGTGCCCTGCGTCCCATTGGAAGAGAACGAGTTTTTCTCCACGCCTTTTCCGGGCGACGCCGCTTGGGTGGCTTGCAGCGCTACCTTGAGGCTGCCTTCGCTCGAGACTCGCAGGGGCTCATCTTAAAATGCACGAGACGCAAAGACCACGGCGTTTTGGTTGAAAGGAGCCCTTGCTGGCTATGTACAGGGAGGATTGCGTGGACCGCCTTGTGAGACGTGGAGTCAAGCACGTTTTGCGGTTGCAGACATCCATGGACGTCAACCTCGGCCTCTGCGCTCCTTGGAAAATTTGTGGGGACTACCATCATTATCTCTGCGCGAGATGCAGCAAGTTGATGCTGGAAATGATCTCCCGCTTTTCTTTCTGGACTTGTTGGTATGCTTAGCATGTTCTTCTGAGTCTTCTGGGATGGGACTCATCGAACACCCTGCCGAGCCCAAAGGTCCATCAAAGCCTTCCATTTGGAGATTGCCCATAATCAGGCTTCTGGCACAATTGCCTGGCTTTACTTTGCTTGATTCTGCGCAGGGATTACTTGGAGCAAAGTCTTCAAAGCCTACCAGGCTACTCGCTTTGAACCTGGACACCCTGCCGCAATCCATTCATGCCCACCGCATTTGTCCAGATCTACCCAAGACTGTCGCAATTGGCAAGGCCAAGTCCGGCCACTGGGCCACAACGGGACCCAAGGAGCACCCGCCAGCGCTGAACCATGCGTTGGGCGAATGTCTTGCACACCACCTGATGCAGAGCACGGTGGATGCTAGCGCAACTTTGGATGACAATTTTTTTGGCCAAGTGCAAGCTCATGCACGCATCTCATTTTGGGAGCCGCAGTGGCCCAGACTACCAAAGTAAGCGCTATAGGGTACAGGTGGAACCGTACCGTTTTCTGAATTCAGCATTGCCCGCCGCGTCGCGCAGACTCAAGAGGCCGTAGCAAAAAAATATAGTAATAACAATACCAGTAGTACCGCACAAGGCGGTGGCGGAAGTTTCAGAATAGGAAACCTATAGGAGACGTTCGTTGTTGTGAATCACGGATGGCAGAGCGAATCCACTGATTGACCGAAAGGTGGTTGGAGTTGTGTTTGCTGGAATGGTTGCAATGGTTGCAGTGGTCACCTCACCCACAACTGCTGGATGTAGTGTGATGTACTGCAACTGTAGTTGTAGTTGTAGCGTAGTGGAGTTGTAGTTGTGGTGTAATGTAATTAGTGTAGTGTAGTTGCAGTCATATAGTTGTAACTAGTTGTTTTGTAGTTGTAGTTGTAGTTGTCGTAGTTGTAGTTGTAGTTGTTGTTGTTGTTGTAGTTGTAGCTGTAGTTGTTGTGTGGTTGTAGTTGTTGTGTAGTGTAAGTAGTGTAGTAGTAGTATTAGTTGTAGTAGTAGTGTTTGTGTTGTTTTTGTTGTTTTATTGTATTTTTATTGTAAGTTGTTGTAGTTGTAGTTTGTATAGTTGTATTGTTTTAAGTAGTAGTAGTAGTTGTTGTTGTAGTTTGGTAGTTGTTGTTTGTTGTAGTTGTTGTTGTTGTTTGTAGCTGTAGTTGTTTTCGTTGTAGTTCTAGTTGTTGTGTGTTTGTGTAGTTGTGAGTTGTTGTAAGTTGTATTGGTATTGTAGTTGTAGTAGTAGTAGTTGTTGTTGTTGTTGTTGTTGTTGTATGTGTTGTATTTGTATTGTAGTTTTACTTAGTTGTGTCGTTGTTGTCTTGTCCGTTTGTTTTCAGTCGTCGTCGTCGTGTTGTTGTTGTCGATTGTCTTGTCGTCGTAAGTCGTCCGTCGTCACGTCTTGTTGTTGTTGTTGTTGCTGTTGCTGTTGCTGTTGTCGTCGAAGTTAGGGTAGTTAAGTTAGTGAAGTTAGTTAAGTTAGTCAAGTTAGTTAAGTTAATCAGTGTCTACTTTTTCGACATCTTCACGTCAAAAAGGCTCAAAACCCTCAGTTTTTTACACTTTTGACTTCGAAATGTGCTTCGCGCCACAACGGCGTGCACTTTTTCGACACTTTTTCGACATCTGAACCTCCAAAAGTGGTCCGAGACCGTCAGTTTTTAACACTTTTGACTTGAAAATGTGCTTCGCGCCACAACGGCGTGCACTTTTTCGACATCGCAACTTCCAAAAGTGGTCCGAACCCCTGGTGTTTTGTACATTTTGACTTGGAAATGTGCTTCGCGCCACAACGGCGTGCACTTTTTCGACATCACAACTTCCAAAAGTGGTCCGAACCCCTGGTGTTTTGTACATTTTGACTTGGAAATGTGTTTCGCGCCACAACGGCGTGCACTTTTTCGACATCACAACTTCCAAAAGTGGTCCGAACCCCTGGTGCTTTTTACATTTTGACTTCGACATGTGCTTCGCGCCACAATGGCGTGCACTTTTTCCACATCGCAACTGTTAAAAGTGCTCCGAAGCTGAAGTGCTTTGTACATTTTGACTTCAAAATGTGCTTCGCACCACAACGGCGTGCAATTTTTCATCACTCATCTGGCCAGCTGGCTCCGCACCCGCCGCTTTAGCGAGCCTACTTTTCGACCCTCCGGAGCCACAAATCATTGGAAAAACACGGTGTTTCGCGACTTTCCTACCTTTTCGAGCATCTGCATCTTCTGTCTTCTTACTCTTTCTCTTCTGATCTTCTCTCTTCTAATCTTCCTCTTCTCTCTGCCTCTGCCCTGCTCTGCTTTTCATCTCTCCATATTGTCGGAAGTTTGACTTCTAAACTTCCTTCGATAATATATATAGTCGTATGCACATCATTGCCAACACATCATGGCACATCAGTGCGCATCATCACATATCAGTACATGGCATTGTATCATTCTCTAACATCTCACATCCAACATCCAAATCAATCAAGAAATGAATGTTGTAAACCCACTACTGGGTGTCATGGTCGGTTCATGGCAGCCAGGGTATCCCATGTTCTCAGGTGACGGACACGACCGGTGCCTCGAGCCCAGAGCTGGCCGCCTAGTGGGCTTCAGCTCGGGATTGGAGAACCTCCACCGGGTGGTGCGCCAAAACCTGGTGATTACCGGAAAACCCTGCGATTTCTTCGAGATTTTGGTTGATTTTGCGAGATGTTTGAGGAGTTTTAGAGATTTGTTTGTCACGTTTTTGTTCTTGAGATTTTGATGGTTTTGGTGATTTTTAGTGATTTTTGTACTTTTTGATGGTGGAAACACGGGGACAAATAGCAAACACATGGGACTACATCTCCAATAAATGGTGCTTCACGGTTTGTTGTTGGGCTTACACTCACTGGTTTTACGGTGATTCTCACAATTCCACAATCAAACAATGGAATCCAACTGATTGCTTGATGAGAAGGGAGAGTTTGCTACACACCTGAAATTGATGTTTGGCAGCTGGGGACGGCTGTTTTGAAGGTACCTCCAGTGGGTGGGCCTCGATACATCCTTGCCCTCTGGTTTGGCCTTGCTCTCAGTTGTGCACATTGCGGGTACTCGGTGACAGTAGACGCTGCATAGATGTGAAGAAGTACATCCGTTTGCAGGTTCTGGGAATGCAACATGTATGCCTGAACTGACCCTGGGATCATTGGGGTTGGCAACTCAGCACATTTGAGCATCGCAAGAGCTGCAGGGTCCCAGCATGGCTCCCTAAGGCAAAGCAGCGCAGCAGACTCCAGCAGGGTCCCAGGCGGTGCCTTGTCATGCACAAAGAGTGTGCAGCGGATGGCCCATATATATATACATGTATATATATATATACATATATTATAATATATATATATATATTTGTAATACATTATAATATTTTTTTTACATATATACATATATAAATATATTATGATATAAAAATATATATATATATATAATGTGTAAACTAATCGAAGGAAGTTTAGAAGTCAAACTTCCGACAATATGGACAGATGATCCCCCAGCCAGTTTCCCCTATAGAATTGGGACACCTAGGTGCTGTATAAAACGATTTTTTTATACAGGTCCCCCCTCAATTTCAGCTGCCCTGTTTGCCTTGTTTTGGCGGGCTCTAATTTTATCTCAAAACTCCGGGTCCTAATTTTATATTTTTTTTTCGGTGCTTAAATTTAGTGACCTAGGGCTCCAATTTTATAGCAGGCTCCAATTCTATAGGGACATGTGTCGGTTTTGTATGGTTTTGTTCAGTTGCCAATTTTATAGTGTATCAATGCATGGTTTCATGAACCAAAGGGTTCCAATTTTGTAGCTACCTGCAATGTAATGCATTCCAGGGTCCCAATTTTATAGCACCTATTTGTTTTTGCATGTTTTTTCTACATCAGAGCGCTCAAGCATGCGCAATGCGCATGCTGGAGAAGAGGAAAACATGAACAAAAACATGTAACAAAACATGGGAATTGAATGGATTTGATGGGATTTGATGGCTTCTTACATCGTGCTTCTACATGCTTTAAGAAAAAAACAAAAATATGGCAAAAAATGTCAGGTTTTGGGTGGACCTTGAGGGCTGCAATTTTATAGTCCCTAAAAACTGCCTTCGATCAGGGGCTCCAATTCTATAGGGGGGGTGCTCCCCACTATAAAATTAGGGACTGCTGTTTCTGCAGCTGAAGCTGCTGAGGCTGCTTCTACAGTGCCTTTGCATGCCTTTGCCTTGTGGGATCCTTTTGGAGAGCACCCCCCCCTATAGAATTGGAGCCCCTGATCGAAGGCAGTTTTTAGGGACTATAAAATTGCAGCCCTCAAGGTCCACCCAAAACCTGACATTTTTTTGGCATTTTTTGGTTTTTCTTAAAGCATGTAGAAGCACGATGTAAGAAGCCATCAAATCCCATCAAATCCCATCAAATCCCCACATATCATCACATATCATTTTATATCATACCATCACATATATCCCCACTATAAAATTAGGGACTGCTGTTTCTGCAGCTGAAGCTGCTGAGGCTGCTTCTACAGTGCCTTTGCATGCCTTTGCCTTGCGGGATCCTTTTGGAGAGCACCCCCGCCCTATAGAATTGGAGCCCCTGATCGAAGGCAGTTTTTAGGGACTATAAAATTGCAGCCCTCAAGGTCCACCCAAATTTAGTGACCTAGGGCTTCAATTCTATAGCAGGCTCCAATTCTATAGGGACATGTGTTGGTTTTGTATGGTTTTGTTCAGCAAAGGGTTCCAATTTTGTAGCGACCTGCAATGTGCTGCATTCCAGGGTTCCAATTTTGTAGCGACCTGCAATGTGCTGCATTCCAGGGTTTCAATTTTGTAGCGACCTGCAATGTGCTGCATTCCAGGGTTCCAATTTTGTAGCGACCTGCAATGTGCTGCATTCCAGGGTTCCAATTTTGTAGCGACCTGCAATGTGCTGCATTCCAGGGTTCCAATTTTGTAGCGACCTCCAATGTGCTGCATTCCAGGGTCCCAATTTTATAGCACCTATTTGTTTTTGCATATTTTTGCATGTTTTTGCTACGTCCGAGCGCTCAAGGGTTCGATTACTACAAAATTGGGGCCTTACTTTAACTGAGATAAAATTGGGGACCACAAAATCGAAGGAAAATAGAGGGCCCCCCAAAATTCGACTTGGGACACCAAATTTTATCAAATTTTAATAAAAAACCACCTATGATCAAGCCATTTTGGTGGGCTCTAATTTTATAGAGGTCCATTTGGAGCTAATACCCTGCACAGGTTTAACCTGGGCACTGCAATTTTGTAGTGTTTTTGGGTTTGATGACATTGATGGGTTGCTAGCAGGTTGTGATTTTATAGGGCTGATTATGTATGTGCATGTGTGAACTTTAATTTTGTAGTGGTCCCATTTGGGCATTTTCAAAGGATAGGCCTGGGCCCCCTATAAAATTGAAGCCCCCAGGTTAAACCCGTGTATTGGCAAGGGGATGACAGATGAAAAGTAGAGATGGGAAGAGTCACAGAGAAGAGAAGAGTAGAAGAGAAGATCAGAGAAGAGAAAGAGTCAGAAGAAAGAAGATGCAGATGCGCGAAAAGGTAGGAAAGTCGCGAAACACTGTGTTTTTCCAATGATTTGTGGCTCCGGAGGGTCGAAAAGTAGGCTCGCTAAAGCGGCGGGTGCGGAGCCATCTAGCCAGATGAAAGATGAAAAATTGCACGCCGTTGTGGTGCGAAGCACATTTCGAAGTCAAAATGTAAAAAAACACACGCGCTCCGGACCACTTTTGGAAGTTGAGATGTCGAAAAAGTGCACGCCGTTGTGGCGCGAAGCACATTTCGAAGTCAAAATGTACAAAGCACTTCAGCTTCGGAGCACTTTTAACAGTTGCGATGTGGAAAAAGTGCACGCCATTGTGGCGCGAAGCACATGTCGAAGTCAAAATGTAAAAAGCACCAGGGGTTCGGACCACTTTTGGAAGTTGAGATGTCGAAAAAGTGCACGCCGTTGTGGCGCGAAGCACATTTCGAAGTCAAAATGTGAAAAAAAGGGGTTCGGACCACTTTTGGAGGTTCAGATGTCGTTTGGGTGGCAGGCGCAAGGGATTGTGCACCTTGTCAAAAGTGAGCAAAAAGGTGAGGGATTTGTAGCATTTTCAATTACACCCACCACGACACCACACTACATTCCAATACGCTACACTACAACTACAACTACACCTTCACTACATTCCACTACACTACACTACACTCCACCACGCTCCACTACACTACACTACACTCAATTACGCTCAGTTACACTACACTACACTACAAATCATTACACTACACTACACTACACTAATTACATTGCTCCACTCCACTCCACGCCACGCCACGCCACGCCACTCCACTCCACTCCACACCACACCACACTACAGTACACTACACTGCATGACACTACATTACACTACTCTACACTCCACTACACTACATTACATTACACTACACTGCACTACATTCAACTACACTACACTACACTACACTACCCTACGCTACACTACGCTACACTACACTACTCTACGCTACGCTACACTACACTACACTACACTGCACTAACTAGAACTAGAACTACAACTACAACTACAACTGCACTACACTAATTGCATTACACTACACTACACTACAGTACACTACACTACACTACAGTACAGTACAGTACAGTACACTACAGTACAGTACAGTACACTACACTACACTACATTCCACTACACTACACTACACTACACCACATTGCACTACACTCAATTGCACTGCACAACACTACCCTACCCCACATTGCATTGCATTAAATTGCGCTACACTCATTGCGCCACCACAAATGCAACTGCGACTACACTACATTAATTACACTACACCACAACTACAACTCCACTACACTACAACTACAACTACAGCTGCACTACACCACACTACATCCAGCAGTTGTGGGTGATGTGACCGACCAGGTGACCACTGCAACCGCAACCATTGCAGCCACTCCAAAAACACAGCTCCAACCACCTTTCGGTCCATCAGTGGATTCGCTCTGCCATCCGTGATTCACAACAACCAATCTCTCCTATAGGTTTCCTACTTTTGAAACTTCCGCCACCGCCTTGCGCGGTACTACTGGTACGTACATTTATTATACACAGGACAGTACACACACGCTTGAATCATCTAATGATTTATTTTTCGTTGTAACTCATGTGAATGCTGTTCCCCAAGAAAAAATAGCAACAAACGAATCCCGCGATTTTCGGTTTCTTGCTGGATTTGGCTGAGCCATAGGACAGGGTCAAGATCTCTGGGCCATGAGCTTGGCAGTTGTCACGACCTCAGCCTGAGTTCTCATTGGCGGCGCCACTCGGGGTAAACCTTGGATGTTCATATATGGTTTGATCCTGTTTTCTATGGTTTTTATATGGTTTTTTATCTGGTTTTGGAAAATTCTTCAAGAGTATGGGTCATGTGGCTTCGGGGGTTGAGCCGGTCGAGTCTCTAGGTCTTCATCCTTGCTTTGGTAGTGGAACTCACAAGAAGCTGCCTTGCGACTCTGCATTATGCGCGAAAATTGCAGAAAAAGGGACCTTGCCATATGAATAAACCCCAGGGTCTAGTGGGGTGGTTCTATTTGAAATATTTGAGAGCATACAGATGATTCACATGACCATAAGATGTCGACATATATGTTAGAATAATGTTTGAAAGACACAGTTTGCTGAGCACGCACCTTTTTTTCCGCTTCAAACATGGACCCTCCTGGCTGGTCACCTTTGGCTGTTAGAGCTGGAGCTCTGGTAAAAAGCAACACCAGCCACAACACAGCAAGCGGCGCAGCGACATGGAAATGTATGGACATGTATGGAATACTAATAAATAATCCTAGCCTCTGGGTGAATTTTATGGAATTTGAGCATCAACATCGTACCACTTGGATTCAAGCAGTCCCGTTTGGATTCAAGTACAGGAATTGCCTCTGATGCCATAGCAACCACGGGCGTTTGGTTTTGCACCATTTAGTTGGGCCGTTTCATCCGGCCCGTGAATTGCCGCTGGCAGCAGCTCGGTTTGCAGGGATTGTGAGCTGATTTGGGGGCTTGATGTTCGTATCCACATCAATCATCGTGAATCTGGATAGATTTTGATGATTCCAATGATAATCACTAGGGGTAACTATCCCTTAAATTAGCGTCATGTCAAGTTAGTGACTCAGAATTTATCCATCCAGAGCTGTATTCGCTTGACATCTCTACTTTTTCACTTCCCATTGGTCCCGTCGTCGGTCTGCCCTGCCGCCGAGTGCACCGTAGCCGGCGAGCCGTCGCAGGCGATGGACACGGTGAGTTGGAATGCGCGAGTCTCAGCATGGGGGGGTGAAAAAAGTTGGGCATTAGAACATCGAACATCTGAAAAAACACAACGGAAATAAGCCTTCATAAGTTGGGATGAACCCCCTGTAATCCCCTGTAACTACCAACACGAACACGAACACGATGGCTTTGTAGCCACTTCAGTGGAACATGTGGAACTGCAGCCGCCCCCCCTGTGAGTTCTGTCAGGTCTTTAGACTACTGGCAGACTTCCTACACCTCGCTGGCATGAGCTTCGGCCTGGCCGCGATTCTGTCTTCGAGCACCTTGGCAGCCGCGGACCGCGCATCGGCAGACCTTGTGGGTTGATCATCCCCAGTTGACGAAGATTCATCGAAGATTCGAAGATTCTTAGGATCAACGTGAGGTGAATATCTGGTATAGCTGTTGACTGTGGGATGCTGCAGGATCTGTGGCAGGATTCTCCAGAAAGACGCAGGTGGCGCAGTATTCATTGGTCAAAAGGGAAGTTGTGTCTTCACTGGAAACTGTGGTTCAAACGAGTCCTGGTTGGTGGTTTGGAACATTTGGATCATTTTTCCATTCAGTTGGGAATGTCATCATCCCAACTGACGAACTCCTATTTTTCAGAGGGGTAGGTTGAAACCACCAACCAGAGTCGAGTTTTGGATGTAGAAAATTTCGCTCCATCCAATCCTTCGAAGACAAACTGGAAGACCCCTGGCAGTCCTCCACAAGACGCAGGTCTTGTTTCAGGTGGTCTTCGTGTCCAGATATCTTGACATCTTTACGCGGCCTGATTGCAGTTTAGCCACTACTTACGGTTTGCAGTTGCATATCTAAAAAAAGTAGCTGTTCATTTTGTTCTCATCAGTGATGAAGTTCAATTGGTCCCCATTTTGCTGCTCAATTGCATGAGATCGAGGCAGCATCAGGGCCTTTATTTACTTTTCTTCAAGGTGTGGCCGCAGATTTCGATCGCTAGGCATGTCTTGTCGTGATCCACTGGGGCATGGACTGCATGGACTGACACTTCTGAACCCCCTGTGCCACCCTGTGCCTTGCATCGCAGATTACTTTCAATTTGATCACTGCTGCTGCCTCAGTGGGAAATGGCGTCACGGCTGTCACCAGTTCGCTATTGAAAATGGCCATAGAAATAGTTGATTTACCCAGCTATAAAATGGTGGATCTTTCCATCATTTTTTGTATGTTTACCAGAGGGTATATACCATGGTTGCAGGGATTTTGGCGGAGGAGTGATTTGGACATACTGCAGATGATGACTGGAGTGTCTATCTCTGCCCGCTATCGACTGACCCACAACTCAAACTCGGATGATAGATGCTACACCATAGATGTCCTTTTCCCATTGGTTGGTTGATTTATAGAAGGGTTTGTTTACCCCTTGAACAACAGGTAAATGATGATAGCAAAACCTGAAGAAGTGGACCTTTTCTGGACCCAACATATGGTCCCTAAATGATGAAGCCTGTATTATACTCAATACTTTAGATTCAGATATCTTTTCCTACATCTTTATACCATATTTCTACCATATTCTATCCACAAAGCTCGTTGAGGCCTTTATGCTTTGGTTGTTCCACAAGCTTCACCATAGCTACGAAGCCTCTGCCGACTCGCTGGGATCCCAATTTTCTGGAGGTTTCCATAGTCATGGAATAGCGATTCGGGGTTACCCCCATTTTTGGACCCCCCCATGTATTACCACACACTTTTTTTTTGGGGGTGATTGTCTTTGACCATACACACATTGTTTTTGAGGGATCAAGGATGACAAGGACCTTGAAACTGATGGTTTTAAATGTGACCCACGACTTTCCTAGACATGTGATGATTCCCAAGAGGCCTTGACATTTTTTTGAGATGGCCGGCTCAACCACCAAGCAGCAAATGATGGGACATTGTGATACATTTTGTGGATGGAGGAGTCTCCTGTTGCGCAGGTGCAATCTCTTGGCATTGGTGGTGCCACCTGCAATCATTGCCTTGTTTAGTGGTGGCATGGGGGTGCGGGAGGCAGACTGCTCAGTTTTCTCACGGCATGGCTTGCTGTTGGGCAGGGTCCATCCTCTGCTTGCTGAAAAACCTTGAGGTTTTCAGATTGAGGTTTCTTAAAATGGGGGGTGCCCCCCAAATCATCCATTTTACAATAGGATTTTCCATTATAAACCATCCAGCTATTGGGGTACTCCCAATGACTATGGAACCCCCCATCTAGCCTGCCCCTGATTTGCATAGGAGGCCTGGACATTCTCGGAATTGCTGGAACCGTTAGCGTTGATCCCGCAGTACATTGTCTGCTACCGGGCACCGCTGGCGAAGGATGATTTTGAACATTTTGAACCATGGCGATGATCAGAACATGTGTGTAAAGATTTGGGACCTCGCTCTGTTTTCAGAATTTTTCAGAGGTATATGTCTGAAAATGGGATTTAACATGATTTAACCCTCAATAGACGACCGTTTTAATACGAAAAAGGGTGATGGATGGGGTCCCACAATACACACCTCGGGGGTTTCCCCAATGGGCTGGGTTCCTGCGCATCGACACGCAAAAGCCAGGCAACAAAGGTTCGACCGGCGGCGGTGATCTATGTACTTGCAGTGGGAGGGTACAGGTCCGGGACGCAGGATTCTATGGTTCAAAAATGATGGGATTTACCATCGCTTTATACTATAGATTTATTACGAAAGCCAGCTGTCAAGCATGGCGAAGTTGGTCATTGCGAACGAAGTGAGAATAGGGGGTCTGGGGGGTCGTCTCCAAACAGACGCATTTCACGCTTTTCCCCACCTAATTAGGGTGGCCACCGTGGTCGATTTTGTACCAGGTGGCAATTGGGTGACGGTGGGGTTCGATCCCCCCCTGGCCCGTCCTCTGAAGTGCTTTTGGGGTGGGTGGAATGGAGGGTAAAAGGATGCAAAAATCGAGTCAAAGCAGAACAGAACAATGGAAAAACGTGGAAAGCGCAATGGAAAAAGAGAGGGAATGGAAGGAACAAACAAAGGGGACGGATTGGAGTTTTGGGGCGGGGTGTACGATGGGTGGGAAGTTGGAGGGCCAAGAGGGTGGCTTGGGCGGGCTCTTTGGGACGTGGGCAGGCAATGTGGAGTGAGGCTCTTTTAGGTAGCTGTTGGGAAGCAAAGGAGCCTGCAGGGTGAAGGGTGTAAGGTGTGGGAGTGTAGAGTGTCACGTGTAAAGTTTAAAGTGTAGAGTGTGGAGTGTAAGTGTAGAGTGTAGAGTGTGGTGTGTAAAGCGTAGAGTGTCGAGTGTAGAGTATAAAGTGTCGAGTGTAGAGTATAAAGTGTCGAGTGCAAAGTGTAGAGTGTGGGGTGTAAAGTGTAGAGTGTGGGGTGTAAAGTATGGAGCGTGGAGTGCTAAGTGTGCAGCAGGGAGTGAGGAGTAAAGTGTCAAGTGGAGTGTGTAAAGTGTAGAGTGTGCGGTGTGGAGTGTAAAGTGTAGAGTGTGGGGTGTAAAGTATGGAGCGTGGAGTGCTAAGTGTGCAGCAGGGAGTGAGGAGTAAAGTGTCAAGTGGAGTTTGTAAAGTGTAGAGTGTGCGGTGTGGAGTGTAAAGCGTAGAGTGTAAAGTGTAGTGTGTAAAGTGTGGAGTGTGGAGTGTGGAGGCTGGGTTGTAATGTGTAGAGTGTAAAGTGTGGAGCGTGGGGTGTAAAGGGCTCTTTGGGACGTGGGCAGGCAATGTGGAGTGAGGCTTTTTTAGGTAGCTGTTGGGAAGCAAAGGAGCCCGCAGGGTGAAGGGTGTAAGGTGTGGGAGTGTAGAGTGTCACGTGTAAAGTTTAAAGTGTAGAGTGTGGAGTGTATATTGTGATGGACTGGCTCGGTGGACATTTTTCACTTTTTCAGAGGCAGCGCCGTATACCGTTGTAATACCACACAATTGTACCCTTCGGCCTTCGGCTTTGTGAAGACCATTCAGATCCTTGGTTTTTCGAAACAGACTCGATGATTCCATATTTGTTGACAACTCAAGGAGTCCAAAAGATGTGGCACGGCAAAGGTAGATAGATTACGTTCCTTTCAGAGATAGCGAGTTAAAACCTTTACCCCATTTCAGCCGGACGGTGCAAAGAGGCCATACCAAGAGCTCTGCACCTAGAGTGCAAGCTGTCGATACAACTTTAGCCTTTGAAGTCTCACCCAGGCACAATGTCTCCCAATAATCTCACGATAGAAAGTGTGAAGCGGGGAGGGGGGGCAAGTTGCCGATGGGTGCTGATGCCCGGCGGTAGGTGGAGTGTAGAGTGTAGAGTGTCCAGTGTAGCGTGTCACATGTAGAGTGTGCAGTGTAAAGTGTGGAGTACAGCGTGTCAAATGTGCAGTGAGGCGTGAGGGCTCTAAAGTGTAGTACAGTCTAGTCTGTCAAGTGTCGACTGTGGACTCTGAAGTGTATAATGTCCAGTCTACACTCTAAAGTGTCGAGTACGGAGCACCCGCCCGCCTTCCCTTCATGTCTCAAACACACCACGGAGCTTCTTTCTCCACAGGCGCCCGCTTCCCCTTCTTCCTTGCCTTCCCTGCCGCCGACGCGTCCTCTCCCCTTCCGGGCTCCTTTGCGCCCCGTCCGCTCTTTAAACGAGCCCCCCGTTCCACTTCCTCCTACGCTCTCTTCATCCTTCCCGACCTTTCCAACACTTCTTCCCTCCGCTCCTTCTTCCTACACATTCCTTCCTTCTCTCCAAGGGCTCCCCGCGCCCACACCCAACACAGCCTCACCCCGCCAGCCCCTCCGCCCCTCCCCCCATGCCCCCCCCAACCCCCCGCCGCACTCCCTCCCATGCTCTCCACTCTCCTGTCCCCGTTCAAACTTGACCCTGGCTTTCGTCCCCTCTTCTCAGGTATAGATTTATCCCATAGATATTTACCCAAATTTATCTCCATGTGATTATGGGTGAGAACTATATTCTCAACCATTGGATTTAAGGGGTGCACCATTTTTGGACCCAAATAAGTCGAGCTTGGCTGTGTAATTTCTGCTTACGGAGCCAGTAGTGGCAAACCTGGGAATTTGAAATTCAGGACGCTCTACGTTTGCAACTGGATCTACAAGGTGGGATGATCGTGGGATGATCGCTTGAAGCTGGAGTGAAGATAGTCAAGCCATGTGAACCCTGTGACAGTGTGCATTCAAAGCAACATCCGCGATCTCCGCATATCTGAGTTCTGTCTGCCCTGCCCAGCGCTATGTGTGGCACGGCGCCTACCACGACTACACGTCTTGGATTGGCGGTGCATTAGAGGACGGGCGTTGTGGTAATAGGTTCATGTCTCCCCATTTCTCAGCCATCTAAGACTCGCCCAGTTAGAAAAAGCTGGGGTCGAACCTGACCTAATGGTAATACCTAGTTAATACTAATATAATGGTAATACCCTAGTTATCATTCTATTAAATGAACCTGACCTAGAAATACCTTGCCTACCTGCCAGTGCATTATCTTTGCCGACTTCCTGGTCCGGATCTCACAGAGGAAGGAGGCCAGACACGACCGCACAGAGGAACATGCACTGTTACCGAATGGGTCAAACCATTGGGTAGACTAAAATCTGTGGTCCCTTGAGTCTTAAATTTTGTTCCATACCCATATGTCTTCATGATATCTGCAATGTGGTGTGTTTTTGGTAGTTTGTGGACATTTGAAACATAGTTGTGTATAGTTACCGGTCAATTGTATACATATTCATATAGGTCTTAAATCTATATCTACATGTAACATGTATATCTATCACGATCTCCATCCATTTATCTATCTACCTATCTATCTACCTCTCTGTCTACCTATCTATCTACCTGTCTATCTAGAATGTAATCTAATTTAACTTATTCTGAAACCGAACCTATAGATCCTATAGATCTATCCACCTATCCCTCTATCCATCTATCCATCTACCCAGCTATCCATCTATCTACCATTTACTATCTATCATTTCCTGTCTAGATTTAATACCCATCACTATCATTTACTATCTAGATTTAGTACCCATCACTATCATCTAGTATCTATCATTTACTGTCTATCATGTACTATCCATAATTTACAATCCACCATTTTACAATCCACCATTTTACAATCCACCATTTTACAATCCATCTATAAATCCATCTATCTATCTACCTATCTATCTATCTACCTACCTATCTATTTATCTAACTATCTATCTATCTATCTATCCATCTATCCATCCATCTATCCATCTATCCATCTATCCATCTATCCATCTATCTATCCATCCCTATCTATACCTATCTATACCTATCTATACCTATCTATACCTATCTATACCTATCTATACCTATCTATACCTATCTATACCTATCTTTACCTATCTATACCTATCTATACCTATCTATACCTATCTAGACCTATCTAGACCTATCTCTATCTATCTCTATCTATCTCTATCTATCTCTATCTATCTCTATCTATCTCTATCTATCTCTATCTATCTCTATCTATCTCTTCCTATCTCTATCTATCTGTATCTCTATATCTATCTCTATCTCTATCTCTATCTCTATCTCTATCTCTATCTATCCCTATCTATCTCTATCTATCTCTATCTACCTCTATCTATCTCTATCTATCTCTATCTATCTCTATCTATCTCTCTATCTATCTGTCTATCTATCTATCTATCTATCCATCTATCTATCTCTATCTATCTGTCTGTCTGTCTGTCTATCTATCTACCTATCTATCTCACTATCTATCTGTGTATCTATCTATCTATCCTATCCTATCCTACCCTACCCTACCCTATCCTATCCTATCCTATCCTATCCTATCTATCCTATCTATCCTATCTATCCTATCTATCCTGGCTATCTGTCTGTCTATCTATCTATTTCTCTATCTATTTCTCTATCTATTTCTCTATCTATTTCTCTATCTATTTCTCTATCTATCTCTATCTATTTCTGTCTATCTGTCTGTCTATCTATCTATCTATCCATCCATCCATCCATCCATCTATCCATCTATCCATCTATCCATCTATCCATCTATCCAGTCTATCCAGTCTATCTAATCTATCTATCTATCTATCTAATCTATCTAACCTATCTAATCTATCTAATCTATCTAATCTATCTAATCTATCTATCTATCTACCTATCTATCTATCTACCTATCTATCTATCTACCTATCTATCTATCTATCTGTCTGTTTGTCTGTCTATCTATCTATCTATCTATTCTGTCCATCCATCTATAATCTATGACCTATAACTGCAATAACCGTCAACAATAAAGGGTGTAGCGACAAACACGAGGCATCTGTTGTATACACTGGTTTGCGATTGAAACTCTTGTGCATTTTGGTGTTGCACCCCATACCATCTGAACCAAAGCCTTTTGTAAAGGGTGGCATGGGTTCATATGGGTTTGGGAAAGCCTGGTTTTCCATGGTAACCCGGTGTTTTGTGCGATATGGGTTGAACACGGGTTTCCACCCAAGCCTTTTTTATTTGTTTACAAGAAACATGCACTCTTCTCACGTCTGTAGTTATTTTTTTGTCTAAAAACTGAAGTGGTCGGGAATTTCGACACTTGTTGTTTCCCCGACATTTTGTGGGGATCGCCTTTAGGTTGGATTCTCACTCCTTCGGACTCAAATGAGATTAACATCTGGTTATTTAACATAGCCATGGAAAATCACCATTTTTTATAGGTAAACCATCTATAAATGGGCCATTTTCCATGGCTATGTTAAATTACCAGAGGGTAACATTAATCGGCTCCTCGTCGAGAAGTCGTTGACGCCTCTAACAGGTCATTGGCGCCATTGGTGCATCGCCTTTAGGCGAGAAACTGAAATTCGAAAACGGCATCAGATGAGCACTCAGATGTGCCGATAGGTGACATCTTGTGACGCTGATGAATAGGTCAACCACCAACCAGATATATATTAACCATCATTAACCATCATTAACCATATAATAACCATATATTAACCATTATTAACAGTATATTAACCACATATCAACCTTCAAGTAGGCCAAGATTTAGGACAAAACCCGTGCTGACGGAGGCCGCATCATACTTCAGATCGATGATAGTGCTGGCAGGCCACGCAATGGATTGATTTCTCCAGGGAAAATTACTGTAATTTACTGAATTACTGAATAGCACATGCGTGGGCTTGATAAATTACATGGATTAGATTACTATAATGGATTGATAAATTACTGAATAGCCCATGGGATTAAAGCAAATATGCGGTTTCAAAGAATTCTCTAACGAACAGTGGGAAGGAGAACAGATTGGACAAAACCACAAACGAGTCAAGGCCGACACGCGCCACTAAGAAACAAATTCTCTTTCCAAAGGCGGAAACATCACCCAAAGCATGCAAAACAGTGATTTGTTGCACTGGCCGCTGGTTTTGCATGTTCTTATGCATTGCTGTTCCACATCTGCTCGAGGTCATGAAAATTTAATTGACCGGAAGTATATACATGGTTTTCCAGTTTCACATGTTATTTTAGCGCCGCATGAACCTGCGAACGCCGCGCACGCCCCTTGCAGAGTATGCCAAGTCTTTGAAGAAGATGGCACCTGCACGGGAGCCAATCATGCAGTATCCCATGTACACAGCAGCACTGAGTGCGGTCTTGGCAATGACAGCCGTTCGATCGCATGAAGAACTGCTCGTGGACGGGCTCATTGTGCACTTCACCCGAGCGCTTGGCAAGGCCATGTTCGTGTCACATCAGTGGGGATCATATCGACATGCTGATCCAGATGGCAGGCAGTTTAGGGTTTTGCAAGATGCTCTTTCCAATCTTCTGGCTGGCACTGCGCGGGTCTCTCCTGACCTGTTGACAGAGATGATTTACGGACGAGCACCAAGCTTCTCAAAGGCGAATCTGACTTCTGCTGATATTTACATTTGGTATGATTTCTTTTCGATTCCACAGATCACCATTCAGCTGCACACAGAGTCTCAGGGCTTCTTGAAACGCTCACAAGCCATTGCCAGCATCCCGGCCTATATCGAGAAATGTGAATTCTTCGTGGCTTTGTGCCCAGTACTCACTCATGCTGACACAGCACAACCAATGGATCAATATAGCTGGGCGAAGAGAGGCTGGTGTAGGGTTGAAAAAGCGGTCCGAAATTTGTTGGCTCCAAATGACATGATGCTGATGATCGAGAGCCCGAAGCACATGTCCATGCTGGCATTAAGGGATACGCTTTTTCATCCCTTTGGAGCTGGGGAATTCACCATTGAGGGGGATCGACAAGTCGTGGGGCAAATTTTAAGAGATATCCTCGAGCTGAAGTTGCACAATGACCTGTGGAAAGGCAACTTATTGGAATACCGATTCTTTATGAACCGGCAAGACATGCTGTTTCAGAATTGCAACCTGCGATACATTCCATCGCCGTTGCGAATTTCCTCAACTTTGGAGAGTCTGGATGATACATGCCATGAGTTTTTGCATCAGAATGGCTTTCTGAATGTGACTGACCGGGATCGATGGGGCTTTTCGCCCCTGTGCTATGCGGTCACCAAGGGAAGCCCAGAACTCGTCAAGGCTATGCTGGCCAAGAAAGCAAACCCCAACGACCGCATTTCGAAGGCTAACAAGAAACCCAGATTTGCCGAGTCAATTATTTTTCGTTTTTCGTTTTTATCAATCCACTATTTGGATCTATTTGGACATGGAAAGACTAGAGTATGTGCTGGGATCTACATTTATAAATACAGGCAATATTTTTGACATGTTTATGATTGATAATTATGTAATTATGTAATTATTATTATTATTATTATTGTCAAGTTTGCATCCGCATCCTTCTCACTTTGCCTTTTCACATGTCATTTGCCATCCCCGCGGCTGTTTAACATCACAGTGGCGGGACGATTGCGCCATAGCGACTACGCCTGGCAACGCCTTTCGAAAAGGTGCTGCAGTGCTGACAGGCACTTGGATAGGTGGGGACTTCGTGGGCCTTGCACCGCAATCTTCACATTGGTAGCGGAGCTGCCAATTCTGCTACCGGCTGGCTTCGCTGTTTGCTTGAGCTGGCCCTGAGCAGGCCCTTGCTGGACTAC